AAAATAAACTATGTATAACAAGATCAATCGTTTTATGATGCAGATTATATGTATAATATTAATAATTTTCGATTTTAAGATTCAGGTCTTGGATAAGAAGTTTCATTTTTTAACAGGCATAAATCTTATAAATAAAAAATTTATAAAATTAACACGTATATAAAGTGATATTCAATAATTATATATTATTTTATAAAATTTAAGTAACTAAATAATACTATGATAATAATATAAATATACATATAATATCACATGATTAAGTCTTAAAAGATTTATTCAAAATTAAAACTTTAATTTAGACAGAAAAGAGCATCTACTCAGCTTTTTTTTTCAATATCCGAAACCCCGTAATTGAACATCCTATTCAAAGTATAGACTTTGGCCATTTTGTTGCCTATTATAATGTTAGCGCTAAAAGGGAACTTGAATCTCAATCGATAAAAAAAATAGCAAGAATTAATGACTTTATATAATTGTGATACTAATATTATATTTTTTTTACTATTATTATAACTTACCTTGATATAAATTGTCGATATAACGAAATTATAATATTATTAAAAGAAAATTGATATGAAAACTAAAATTAATATAAACAAAATTTCGACGTCATCAAAATTCAAATCTTACTTTAAATGTAAAATTGATAAAAATATGATTAAAACCAATATTCATATAAAATTAAAATTACGAAAAGGTACATCGACGACACTTAGGTCTATAAAGATATTAAAATAATACACATTTTAAAGAACAAAGGAGCAAGATTAAATTCCTGGAGATTTTAGGTAGGGAGAACATCACGGAACAAGGTGATAAATAATTCAATTAAATAAATATTTAAAAGATTATCATTGGAAAGTAGAGAAAAATTAAGTATGAATGCATAATCAATATTGATTTATCATTTTTTCAGCGTTATGGATATTATTTTATATTCTTAATTTTATCCCGACACAATTCAATTATTCCAATTCATTCTAAAATCATTCGCATACTGGAAATCTTCGTGCATATGCGATAACAAATAATGACAAAGTACAACGAGGACAAAAAGGATACGTTCAATGGTAGGATAACAATCGTAACCTTACCAAACCTCCCACTCAAATAAAACAAAGGAAGGAATGTTATATAATTATATTTTGGTTTTATGCAACACGGAGTGATTTAAAACATTTTAGTTTTGCTTATATTTTATTACAAATTACATTTTTTTTATATCACTTAATTTAAATCACGTTCGTTTTTGCGTAACAATGACTAATCACTTATTTTATTATTAAAACATTTTTTAAATTGTTGACGGTAAAGAGATATAAAAAGACAATGATATATAATTTAAAGCAGTGTTAAATAAAGCGATATATATTTTTGATATACTTGAATTAATAAAGGATGTGTTAAATACATCATTCACCATTATATACAATAAACAAACCAATTTAAAACACTTATATTTGCCCTTTTCATTATTATTTTCTTGTATAATATAGAAATTTTATTTTCTATAATTTTACCAAAAAATATTATTTTAATCTATATTTTTAAATTATATTATGAATAAAGATTATATATCTATCTTAAGTTAAAAATGTTTCAGGTAATAATAGACTCAAAATTTTAAATTAGGAAACAATTTAAAATCATCTTCGATGAAAATGACAAAAGGCTAGATTAGATCCGTTGCAATGATTGCTAATCCATCAATAGATATATAACAAGAGTGGCACACCCTCCTTCCTTCGGCAAATTTCATCTGCAAATTGTGAAAATTTCATAGTTAATAGAAAATAACACACGAAAAAACAATTATCAATTAAACAAAACATTAAATCGGGTCTAATTGCCAATTTTGTAGAATATTGTGCTAGAAAATTAGGTATTTTAATTTTTAATAAATTAGTCTTCCATCATTTTTAAGCCATTCAAGGACCTGGATTTGTAAATCTTTTACTGAGATTTGTTGACTTGAGAGCCACATATGGAATATTGGATATCGAAAAAATTATTCCATATCCCAGAATAGTTAGCAGGTACGTAGCCAGTTACTGAAGATCTTAAGTAAAAATTGGAGAAATGTTAAAAAATTTTATTTGCTCATATACTATTGATATAGGTGTGAGGATTTTACTAAAACCGATTACATAGCTATCAATCCATGTTATGTAATAAAATTTTTAAAAATTGGTGTTCCCTGTTCCAAGCTCATTTTTGTAATGGACCAAGTTAGCAAATATTGAAAAAGCGCCGGAAGGGAAATTTTTTTATAAAATTATCTATTAGGTAGATATTATTATAATTTTTGAGAGATTCTGTATCATTCATATTAAGAAAACTATATTTTCAGTTAATTTTTTTAATTATTAGATTTAATAAACCAAACTGAGCACATATGTTGAAGTTGAACACAATATTTCGCAATGCATTCCAGCCAACTTTTATTTTGAAAAATACTTCCGATATTAATAATATTTTGGCAACTGCAAAATCGATGACCACTTAGATTATTTGGTGATATATAAAGATGCAACTATACTCTTGAGAGCGGCTGTAAGTCTACATTACAGAACATTTTTATATTTATGATATTATTTTTTGAAGTAAATGGGTTAGTAAGCATGTTAAATTAAAATCAATAAAAATGTACCGACAATTTTTGTAATCGTTATTTTTTTAAACTTTTTTTGACATATATGGGTAAAAATTTATATAAAAAAAAATTATATTAAAATTTCAATGAAGTTGTAATGTACACAGAAAAGTGACAATTGTCATAATCGTTATTTTTTAACTTATTTGATTTATTGCGATGCATAAAGGTGAAAATTTATATTATAAAGATGTAAAAATAAAATTTCAAATGTACTATAGAAAAGTGATATTTGTCATAATCGTTATTTTTGAACCTTTTTAAAGCAAATGGGTAAAAATAGTTAACATGTTAAATTAAAATTTCAGTGAAGATGTGCCACAGGAAAGTGACAATTGTCATAATCGTTATTTTTAAGGCAAATGGGTAAAAATAGATATTGTTAAATTAAAATTTCAGGGAAGATGTACTACAGGAAAGTGATAATTGTCATAATCGTGATTATTTAACTTTTTAAGGGAAATAGGTAAAAATATATATTGTAAATATAATTACAGTGAAGATCCATAAGAAAGTGACAATTATCATAATCGTTATATTTGAACTTTTTTCAGGCAAGTATGTAAAAATATATATTGTAAACATGTTTAATAAAATTTCAGTTGTATATGTACTACAGGAAAGTGACAATTGTCATAATCGTCATTTTTGAATATTTTTAAGGCAAATGGGTAAAAATAGATAGTTAACATGCTAAATTAAAATTTAAGTGAAAATATACCACAGGAAAGTGACAATTGTCATAATCGTTATTTTTGAACTTATGACAATTGTCACTTTTATGGTACATCTTCACTGAAATTTTAATTTAACATGTTAACAATATCTATTTTTACCCATTTGCTTTAAAAAAATTCAAAAATAATGATTATGACAACTGTCACTTTTCTATAGTACATTTTCATTGAAATTTTATTTTTACATCTTAATAATATAAATTTTAACCTATTTGCGACACAATAAATCAAATAAGTTAAAAAATAAGGATTATGACAATTGTGACTTTGCCGTGTACATTACATCTTCATTGAAATTTTAATATAAAATTTTTTTTAAATATAAATTTTCCTATATATGTCAAAAAAGGTTTTAAAAAAAATAACGATTATGAAAATTGTCGGTACATCTTTATTGAATTTTTATTTTAATTTAACATACTTACTAACCCATTTACTTCAAAAAATAATAATTTACTATAACATTATAAAATATGCTTTGAAGATTGTTGATCTAAAATATTTTTAAATAAAAAAGATCGTTGATCAAAATTTTAAGATCTTGCTCAAATATCTTCAAAAGATCTTTTGTACAACTCTGGAATCCAATTAAAGGGCACGAAATTAAACCATAACAGACAAATGTGAGGTTGTTACAGAGAAAAGCACCGTACCTAATGACACAATTTATTTATAAACTTTAGAAAAATTTTCGAATCAAATAATGATTTTATTATTTGTAATACGGATAATAAATTATTCAATTAGTGAGAATATGAATGACGAATAGTATTATTTTTTTGTAGGTCTAGCCACATATATATAATAGCGATATAAAAATAGAAAAATAGTAAGAGATATTAACATTGTCTGTAATCAAAAAATAATATTAATCAAAATTATATTTTTACTCACGATATTATAATAATCCAAATTTAACTTAATTTTCATTAAGAAAATTTCAGAATGTTATTAGTAAAAATATAAATAAATGCTTATACATATATTTCATTAACTATTAATTACTTATGAAAAATACATCCTTATTTTTGCTGAACAAGAAAAACTTATACATGAATTTTAAAATGTCATTTTATATTATAAAATATGTATTCATATTCTGTTGTAAATGAAACCTCTATTTTTGTTATATAAAAAAGTACAAATTGAATTTTTTAAAAGTGATCCATCTTGCGGAAATTTATTGTTTATATAATTAATTTTCAACATTCATTAAAATATGAATTTTTTAACATAGTTAATTATTTTTATATTATATCTTTTGGAAAAATGTAATATCTAGCAATTTATATTTATATGCGATTTAAATAACTATAAAAAAGTTTCTTAAATAAATATAGATTTATTAAAATAAATGTTGCTATTTGCAAATGGCGATTATTTTAAGACTTTTAAAATCAGCCTTATATAAAATGATCATTTTACATGTTAATATTTATTTTTTTTAATTAAATATACAAATTTTTTTTCTTCTAATATAAACAATTTTAAATGTTAGAACATTCTTTCTTTATATTTTCTTTTTATAATTTTTATGATTATGTCTAGTTTTAAAATTTGAACAATGTCTTGTTTATTATATAATTTTTAAATGTGTTTATTTGAAATTGAAAATAAAATTTATCAAAAAATAATAAATAAAAAATTTCCCTGAGATTAAATGACTTGCCAAATCGAAACTTTTTTCTTCATCAGTTATTATCAAATTATTATTATATACAATTATCAAAAAAATAAATCATATTAATAGTATATATTAAATTTTGTCGAATTTAGTAATGATCACTCGTCATCCATGTCTCCCCTGGTTTGCAGGGAATATTTACTCATAAGCTCTAGTTTTCTTTTATTCAACAGGGCCAACTCCATCTGTATAAAATGAATATGATATATAGTGTTGTTAAAGTTATTTTTTACTAGTTACATTAAAAGGTTTAATTAAGAGTCAAGTGGAAATGTAAATAGTTAGAGCAGTTAACTCAATGTAAGTTAATTTTTTTAAAATCTGATTTATAACTTAATGCATTAAACAAAAGAAGGTTAAGAAAAAAAATTACATAAAAAATTATTCAGCTTATATAAAGAAGCCTTAGCTGTATTTCTATGTCATAAATTTGCAATTTAATAAATAATTTGAAGTAAAGCTTATAAATAAAATATTAGAAGCATTGTATGAGTGGAGATTAATTATGGTTGTCAGCGTCATTAATTTCTGATAATTCACTCATTAAATCTAAAGTAAATGGAAAGCTACTCATAATAAATTCGATAATTAACACATATTTACATTATATAAACAGAACCTATTATTTATATTATATTAAATTTGTATGGGTAAATAAATTTGTAAATAATATAAGAAGCTTGATAAATTTAAATCTAAAATAAAAATGTTTTTTCTACTTACCTAAATGCGTTTATAAAATTGTGTGGGCAATAAAATTTATAAATAAATTGATAAATTTAAATCTAAAATAAAGTTTTTTTTTTAAATTACCTAAATTTTAAACAATTATTATTCTCACAAAATTTAACCGATTATTTATTTAATGAAATAAAACACAAAGGATATCAGCTTAGAAATTTGTCGTTTTATTTTGTATAGTCTGCTGATATCATTTAAAATTATTGGATGATAGATACCAATAAAGTGAGTAATGTTGTTAAACGGCTCGATCATCTGATTTTTAAAAATGACTAACTAAAGATTTTAGTTAAAAAAAATATTACTTAGGCTAAATCAAGCCGTCCAACACTAACCGCAAGTATTGGCCGACAACGTATCAATACATCTCTGTTAAATGTAATATATTATTGAAAGTACATCTTTTTGGGTAGGAACGTATATCTGAGTATCGCAAATGTAATCTTCGTATTCATCGATTTCTTCATTTTCGGTAAAATTTTCCAATGTATGACTGGATGGCGTGCTTTCTTGCTGCTGATTTTTCAGCGTTTTTCTATCCTCTTCCCATTTTTGTACTAAGGCTTTCCTGGCTATATAAATACATTTAAACCAGTAAACATGGTTTTTTTTTAAAAAAAATTAAATTTTACTTCTGATATCATATGCCTTATAATTCAATTTTATATAATCTTTTATTTAGTAATAAAAAATCTAATGGACAATCCCATTTTAGATGAACAAACGGGTTATGAAAAGACCCCCATAAATTTTTAATATATACAAATGATAATTTAAAAGATATAATTTACTTTATTAAATCTAGGGTTAGCCAAAAAAATCAATATTTCTAATTAAATTCAATTTACTAAATTTGATCAAATACTTAATATAAGAAAAGTCAAAGACTTAGATTATTTTAGAATAAAATCATTTTTATATGAAAAATACTAAATTGTATTTGTATTTTAATGTTTCAATTTTTAAATTTTTTAATTGTATAATTCTAATCAATGTGGTGAGAAATTATTTAATATTTTTTAGAAAAAAATTTAGTTTGTCAGGCAAGGCTGTGAATCCTCCTTCAAAAATATGTTATGGTTCAGTGAAATATCTCTTATCTATAGGGTTTGCAATTTAGAAAATAAAGACTTATAAAATTTAGTAAAAATATCAGAAACATCAGTTTTTATTAAATTTATTTTACTATCATTTACCATAAAAATAATTTTATCATAAAAATTAGAATAATATAATACAATTATGAGAATTATCATATTTCCCAAAATCTAGATGTTAAAATTAAAGGATCAATTTTTTATGCCTAACTTTGACAATGCATTGCAACTTTTCATGTACTCGGCATTAAAATTTAATTGTTTAAAAGAAAACTTGTTTTCCTAAATATTTGCTATACTCTCCTGAAGCTGTTGATTGTTTTACCAAGAATTCATGGTCCAGCTAACCATCAATTTTTTATTACATCTTGAAAACATAATTTTATTAAACAGGATGTATCTTTGATTTTTACCATATTGAATAAGTTATAACAATATTGATTTTCAGGATGGTAGGTAATAAAAACAACCATATAATAATAATTAATTGATTAACTAATTCAATTAGATATAATTATCTTTTATTAATTTTGTTAAATAAACAAATATTTTGCTTACTTGATTGGTGTAATATATTGTTATAAACAATTGATTTATCCTAAGAAAAAAGATTAATTAAATCATATTTATCATAATATAATTAAAAAACTAGCAGCTATAAAAAAATGGAGAGGGAGAGTTTTAAATTTTTGGGACATACTAAACAATTTTTTTTAAATATTAAATAACATTTTTATTAGTCAAACTGAACGTTAAAAGTAAAACATATATATGTAAATTAAAAATATCATGTAAACTATTTGTAAAATAAAATCTATATAAAAACTGTATAATAAAAAAATAAGTATAATAAATTGTATGAATTGTCATAAAACTAATAATTATAATTAAGATTATTTTAAACTAACTAACGAATATTTTAATTTGGCTAATGCATCAGGGCTTCAGGGAAATAACAGGAGTTAAAATCAAAAATAATTAGTAAAAATAAATAAAATTTTAATTTTGGTTTAGCAGTTTTTTATTTGAGGATACATAATAAAGAATTGATTTTCTTTCCGACTCACTGATATCGACTAGTTAAATTTTTTTAAACAGTTTGCACATATCGAATTTTTGATAGAACGTGGGCTTTCCATTTGACAAAATATCAAAATAGCTCATTTATCAATATAACTTTTTCCAATAATTTTCTAATCAGATCTCCTGAAGTATTATTACTTACAAAGAAATATTATACAAAGTTAAAATCAAATGATGTTTTTCAATTTAAATCTGTATTCTTTAATTAAATTAAAATAAAAAAAAACAGTTATATCTATGAAACTCAATGTTATTCAGTAAATATTGTATTCTCTTAAATTTAAAGGATTAAAATTCGCCTAACATTCTATATTTTCATTTTCACACAATAATAAGCCAATAATGATATTTTAAATTTTGAACATTTAAAAATTATATCCTGAATCTTAATTTTATTAAGTGTATGCAAGATGAATTCACAATATAGATATTATGCTAACAAAATTTTGTAATATGAAAATTTTATTAGGTAACGCATTCAACTGAGTATATAGCATTTTACAGATCAGAAGTCAACAAATTCAATAGCTCAGCCAGATTTTTTTAAAAAAAGTAAGGCCTGAACTGACTTTTTAAAAGTCTACGCTCCCTCCCTAAGTAGTTGTTACCTTCGCAATCAAATTTATAATGATAAAATTAAAAAAATAGATTAAAGTGTTAAATCACATGAATGTTGTCAAAGGAGTTAATAAAAAGCCTAAATCACAAAACTAAGCATTTCAAATCATAAGAATTTGCTAGATCTTATTAAAGTTGGAATTATGCAAAATCTCAAATTCCCTTCACACGCTAAATAAGAAATTTAAGGCCCTATCTTTAGTTTTCATAACAGTACTTTAGAACTAGCTGAATTTAATACGTCAGATTATAAAGCTCACGCCTTGGGTCAAAGTACAGCGCCTTTGGCTGGAGATTAACCAATATAAACACATTTGCTAAGTTGTATCTCATACATCAGCTTATCAAAGTGCAGAAAATATAATTTTTTTGCCGTTTATTACTATCATGGTAGGAAAATTGGTCATTTAAAAAAATACTAGTCAAAAAATTATCTATAAGGGAGACCCAAATTATCATTTTAAATTTGCAGATCCAAAAATATTACTATTTGTGAATCGATGCCTAACAAATTTTATACCATAAAATATAAATATAATACTTTAAATAAATAATATCTGTAATTCTTGTTTAAATAAAAATTTTAATTATCAAAAAAACTTTAAAATAATTCATCAAAAGATTTTTTGCGTAGTTTATTTCTTGGAGTTTTCATTCAAGGATATCATTTACGATAATATATTAATGGATAAAGATTTAACATTAATGAAAATAACTATTGACCAATTTGTTGAGCAATCTTTTCTTGAGGCAATAAAAGCCCGTCATCTTCGTCCAAATAACCGTAGTAGTGGCAGTCTATGTTACGCAAAATTTCGCCCTTCGATTTTCTATTTGACGGTTGAACTTATTTTTTATTTGTGATAAATTTAATGAAGTTATTAAATCATATGTTATGAATAAATCTAAAAAATTAATAAATTTTAATTAACAAACCGATTTGTTCACTGAGTAATTCTCTGACACCTGGGAGGTCTTTGGCAGCTCCAAAATATTTGTAACCTGGATTAGCTGGTATTTCTTTACCTTGTATGAACACGTTTAAAAAATATATATAACAATAACTTAAAACTGTTTTCAATTGTATCACACTAATTTATTAATTGATTTTTATATAGTAGAATATAATAAATTCTGAACAGATATTGAAATATTTGGAGTAGTGACCGTAGACAGTTCTACCATCAAGGAGGAGGAGGGATCAACTGAGTTCAATGGTTCGGGATTCTCAGAAAGGGTTACCAGATTTTGTGTTGGTCATTGTACTAAACACTATCAAAAAAAGAGAAAGGGTAAATACCACCAATGAATCATTAATAAGCGACTACAGTCCCTCTTTAGTGTGTAGTTTACATAACCATGATGGCAATCGCCGCTCCACAGGATTAGTACGGATAGACCACCTAAGATAAAATTGAAAAATATAGAACGGCATTTGCCACACCGCAGGATTAGGGCGGATTTAAGTCGTAAATTAATTTGATAAATAGTAACAGCCAGCGTCTACATGACAGAATTTTCACTGGATGCAAACCCCCTTCAAAAACCTTTACCTACCCCCCTAAAAAAATTTCACCTTCAGCGACGTTGTTTCTACATTCTTATTTCCACCTTTAATTATAATGATACTCTTTTTAGAGAATTTATAAAGGATAACTTAAATTAATCTATCTCTACTACCAACTAACGATATTTTGTAAATATATAGGATATTTTTTAGATAATTCAATTAAACCTCGATTATTTACAATGAATTTATTATTATAACATTATGAGCTTGCTGAAATATCTAAACCTTTTAAATTACATTTAAAAGGATAGCAGAAAGTTTTATTTGGAAAACAATGTGTATGATTGTTTGCAATATAGATTTGGTCGATGAATTGTATTATAATAGTTCTATAATAAAATTATTAATTTTTACAGCAATAAATGTTGTCCTATTTCATCTCAAAATTTAATAGATAGTCCCCCAAAAAATTTATCCTATTCCCAAAATCCGTCTACCCCCTACCCTCCTCAAAAAAATAGGATGCAAACTGTTCTTACCCCTCCCGCTCATGTAGACGCTGGTAACGGCATTCGCCGCACTGCTGGATTTGGGCGGATTTAAGTTCTAAATTAAAAAAATAATAATAAGGAACAGCATACGCTGCATCACAGGATCAGTCAAATTTAAAACTTTAGCTGACTAAAAATATATATTAAGGAACGGCATTTACCGCACCACAGGATTAGTGCGGATATAAAATTTACCTAATCGGGGCTCATCACGGTCGATTGTATATGGAGTAAGTAAAATCCACTCGTAAATGATTTATTGATAGTATAAAATTTTTCGTCAAAGTTAACAAAAAAAAATTAATGATCGCTATTACACAAAAGAAATAACTATTTTCACAATAAAGTACTATTATAAAAGAGTTTATACTTGGCCATTAAATCTGGCTTGGACAAGTTTGAAGTGGATTTTGGTCGAGAGAAAAAAAAATTATACCAAGGTTTTATACATTTTAATGTTGTGCATAAAAAAAGAATGTATAGAACTATGATAAACAAAAACTAAAGAGATAACTAATGACAAAAACAACTTGGGGAAGATTTTGAAAGAAAACTGTTTATATTTCTTTTTCTTTAAACACAACAGATATATTTAAAAATTATCCATTATTGTAAAATAAAATCTAGTTTATTAAAATCCTGCAATGTGTACATGTTAAAAAAAACCGTTAACATTTAAATCTCATAAAATTAGAATCTTTAAAGGTTTAAGAGGTGTTGTGTAAAACTATATTATAATATCTAAGAGTGTTCTTTTGCTTTATTTTTTAATAAAATTCCTTTAAGCATCCACTGAAAATTTGTAAATAAATTAAGTTAATAAAAATATCCTAAAGTAAGCTACATATAACCAGTAGGACATATTTAATTGTTATTTGGAAAGAATGTAAATATGACTTTTAGTTAAATTACAATTATTTGCAGTCACAACCCAATAATTTAATTTGAAAAAACTGATTTTTCTTCCCCTCCTTCACTCCTATCTGATTTAATCGAAGATAAACTAGAGTTAAAAAGTTTTCAAATAGCTCTCTTTTTGGTTTGGAAACTGAGCTCAGAATGGTTGATTTAGAAAATAGAGTTTCCCAAGGGTTACAAGCTCTGGGTCAAGGTTGTGATCAGAGTTTCGAACCGAACCGCCAAACCGGAATGAACCGTTATGGTTTTCTTAACCGTAACCTTAACCAAACCGTTATAAAGGGTTCAAAATGGTTTTAAAAAATAATTAATTTTAAATAATTAATCTAAATTTTAAATTTTCCTTGGGGAATTTTTTAAATGGGTGATTTCTTTTCAAATTAAATATTTTATATAACATTATATATCAATTAGTACCAAGTCCATTGTTTTTTTCTTTAAATACTTATTTTATTAGAGATTAGGCAATTATCTGTTAATTAGATAAGATATCCTAATCACACATAATTATTCTTGGCTAAATTAACAAGTTTATATATATAAGTTATTAATAAGCTTTTATAATAATACTTTCTAATAATTTAGCAAAAAATTAAATAAATCTACTATTAATAACTAACATCTAATAGAAATCAAGTACTTTTTACATTCATTTTTATATTATATGATTTATTTTTTTTATATCATTATAAAAACTTGGATAATAGAATTTAAATGACAATAAATAAAATGGTCAGCAATATTTTAATGATATGATATTTTTTATTTATAATCATATTGTTTTTTTAAATTATGAATTCTAATATTCATTTAAGTCATTATAAATATTTATTATTAAAATAATATTTTTAACATTTGAAAGAGAGATCGCCAGAAAACATCTTTGTAAAACTTGGAACTTGATACAAAGTCTAAATAATAAGAATATTGAAATTCTAAATACTATGCCTACATGTTTACATACGAAAGATAATTTAGATATGATTTTGAAGATTTATTAATGTCGCATGAAAGTCTTAATAAGAATAATTCTCAGGGCATAGAAAATTATAAAAAATGTATAGAAATAGAATATATAATTCGGTCATTTGATAATATAGAGAGATTAGTAAAAGATACTAATCTTTTGAATTATTGGGAAAATGTAAAGAATAGTATGCCAGAACTTTATAAGTTAGCTATAACTGTGCTAGCAGTTCCAGCTACACAGGTATCTGTAAGCATTTTCTAGCCTTAAGTTTATACTCTCTGTGCAGAGAACTATATTAAATCTTGAAATATTAGAAAATATTTTAGTTATCCGTTCTATTCTCTTTTTAAACATAAATAGTATACATTTTATTATATTTATGTGTTATTTAATTCATCATTGTATTTATGCATGTTTGTTTTTATCTTATTATTTATGAAATAAAAAAAAATTAATTGTCTAATTTATATTTACTAAGTTTAATAAAAATATCAATTAGATTATCATGGTTAAATTAAATAAGAAATTATAAATTAAAAATATTTTTCTCTAAAATTAATATATACATGGTTAATTTTTTTAAAATCAAATTTATAAAAACCGGAACAAACCAAAAAGAACCATTATAAATTATAAACCAAACCGATACAAATTTTTTTAAAAAAAACCAAAATGAAACAAAACCTTTATAAAATTTTAAATTAAAAACCGGAGCAAACCAAATTGTTATGCATAACGGTTCGAAACCCTGGTTGTGATAAGACCAGTTGTTAGAAAATTCCTTCAAAAATATTTTAGTGATACATTGATTTCGATAAAAATCCAAACTATGGTACTCTTTCTATAATCAGAATTAATCTAAATAATAACTCTTTAAACCTTCCCTGTTCAGGATTCTTATGGAAATATTTGATGAGGCAAAATGGTCTGGTCCACCTAGCTCTTTTATCCTTATCTCCCAATGTCTTTTTTCTCGTAAAAGTTTGTTTATTTCATCGTTGAGATCCCTTGTTCGAAATTCACCAAGACCAGCTTTTTTTTAAGGAAATAATAATATATAATTGATATTTTAAAAATCCCTTTCTAAACATGTTTCAGAATTTTAAATAATCCTGGAACTATCTTAAAATCTTAAGTTGTCATTGTATTTGTTATTCTAAAAAAATGAATTATCGAAATTATTAATTTCATTTTTAAATGTTAAGGTTGAAATAGCAGTAGGTTGTTTTATTTAATATTTATTGTATATTAGAGATGCCTTAATTAAATTGGATCAAATACTGGATTAGAACCCTATCTTAAATATTGAGGCTTGGCATATTCAATAAATCGCATTGATCAATGAAATATTATATTTGATTTGTAATTTCATATGCAGACCAATATCATTGAAAATCTGGATTCAGAAAATAAAAGTTCACCATAATAAATTCATATTATAAACATAATCAGTCAATTTTAATGTTTCTTTCTTTTGAAAAACAATAAGTTTGCAAAATACAATATTTAACATGATCAGTTAATTTTAATGTTTTATTCGTTTGAAAAACAATAAGTTTGCAAAATACAATATTTAATAAATTTACGATTTTGAATTTGAGAAACTTTTCTGGCAATTTCTCTTATTATCTGTTTTCTCCACTTCTCTGCATCTGGAACACTTGAACACTCACTTGCTAAAAATGGTCTTTTATCCTTTAATTACAAATTTAATTTCACAAATAAAAATTAATTATAACATTTTACAAATAATAACCAGCCAATAAATTATCCTTCATAATAAAGTACTTAGGAATGTATATAACTAAATATATTATTTTATTTTGTAGAAAAAATTTGGAATTTCGTTAGTTTATTTAAAAAAGATAACATATATACCAAAATTTTGCCCTCTCGCATTTTCATATCCCTCCATCTGCTCAAAGCAGTCCTAAAAATATATTTTAATCCCACATATATAAAAATATTAATCGTTACTTACATTGCCTTCTCTGCGGTTCTCGCCTATATAATTTGAAAAAAATAGATATATTTACGAGTTAATATTTTTAATCCTACCATGTTTCTAGATGAGCGAATGATAATATAACCTTTTAAAACGATTATCAAACCCACAGGCCGGTGTAACTAAACTGAGAATTAGGTAAATTGAGAATAGACCGGTAAACTGAGAATTGACAGGTAAAATTTATTTTTATTTTATATCCTATCAATTTTATTTTAAAAATATAAATAAAATGTTCTTATTATGTAAATCAAATTTATCTTTAATTTTTTCCAAATCTATAAAATAGAATATAGAAGAAATTGTAGTCCATAAATTTAAAATATGTATAGAACAAATATGTTACATAGAAAATATAACATCAATAATATATTTTAAAAATCATAAATATTTTTCCGTTAGATTCAGTAATATATTAAAAATTAAATTTTTAATTAAAAAAATATGAATTATAGGAGCATAATTCTTTACCTTGGATAAATTTATTTGGTACAAGCTATATAATCATAAAATGAAATTTTTTTTAGTTTCCATCATTATTTTTGGAGTTATGATATACGTCATACGTCATAAAGCGCATACGCCCTCTAAACGTTGTAAGTACAACAGAGCTACGCTAGGTATTTCTCATTTCCATCTAATTGGATTAAATAAAATTTGGGAAAAGATGAGAAGCCCTTTACACGTTTGTGAGCAAGCCGTACGTACTTGTACGCACAATAGTCCATGAACTATTGTTTAAACGTCTGTGGGCTGGTCTGAAAAGGGAGGACCAGTGTAAACAGCCCAAACCTACAGCCCTATAGAAATTAGAGTAAAAGGGACATGAGGAGGCTTTCTAGATAAAATTAGCATTTAAAAGGTTTATGTACAAAATATAATGAGTAAATAAGAAGTGAAACCTGTGCTCATGTTGCGGATATCTGGACTTATAAATTTGCAAAAATTAATATGATTTTCCAGTTCAATTTAAATTTTAGAAATATCGAATTCAACAAATCATACGTTTTTATTATTTTACATTTTTTGGATTTTAAAAATATTTTATTTTTTAACTCATTTTGTGAAAACTCATATGAACATAAAATGATAAAAATTTTAAGTTTCCGTCATTATTTTTTCGTCAAAAAATTTTAGATTTTTGGGATTTTAAAAATATTTTATTTTTTTATTTTGTGTAAACTTACTCATATAAACATAAAATGAAAAAAAATTTAAGTTTCCTTCATTATTTTTTGAGTTATGATGTCAATTCTCAGTTTAGTCAAAAATTTTAGATTTTTTGGATAAAGATATTTTATTTATTTTTACTCATTTTGTGTAAACTTACTTATATAAACATAAAATGAAAAAAATTTTTCCGTCATTATTTTTTGAGTTAAGATGTCAATTCTCAGTTTAGTCAAAAAATTTTAGAATTTTGGGATTTTATAAATATTTTATATTTTTGACTCATTTTGTGTAAACTTACTCATATAAACATAAAATGAAAAAATTTTAAGTTTCCGTCATTGTTTTTTGAGTTATGTCAATTCTCAGTTTAGTCAAAAATACTTAGATTTTTGGGATTTTAAAAATATTTTATTTTTTTGACTCATTTTGTGTAAACATACTCATATAAACATAAAATGAAAAAAATTTTAAGTTCATTATTTTTTGAGTTATGATGTCAATTCTCAGTTTAGTCAAAAAATTTAAGATTTTTGGGATTTTTGACTCATAAATAAATGCAATAATATATAGTTGTTATTGAATTAGAAAACTACTTTACTTCGGTTAAAATTTAGTGGCTCTTAAAAGGGCCGTTTGGCATTCATTGGTCTTAAAAAAGAGCATTGGGTATTTATGTTATAAATAAGTCTAACATTCGTTTTAATAAAATACTAAGGCTAACGAAATCTTTATTTTATAAAAATGTTTACAGCTTAAATGTTATCTATATCATATTCCAAACTTCTCATTCACTCATTTATTTATTATTTTGTATCTTGGAAAAATTAGGATAAGAAGGATCGAACAATTCATTTTTTTTTCTTCATACCAAATGTTTTTGTATGAATCTGGTTCCGGTTAAATTTAATTATTAATTAGGTTTAGATTAAACGACTTACATAATTATGTTGAACACCTGTGGCAGATTTTTAAATAAATTTAGTTGATAAATTAAACTGAAGTAGGACTTCAAGTACTAATTTCAAAGTTTTAAAAAGATAATTATTTTTATAAAATTAGTAAATATGTAATGTATATTACGTTACATAAAATGGTACTCGAAATATCTTACATAATATTTTATTCACCATTGTAAAAATGTTGTTTACAGATATGTGAAAAGTTATTATATTATTATAATTATTTATCTCAATAGAATATATATAAAGGTAAAAAAAAACTATTATTTATTCATATATTATATTCTCAATTTATAAGCTAAAATTTTTTATTTTTATTTTACGAATTTAATGCTAGGCTGGGTGGGCCTTGGAAATATTTTTAAATTATCAATTTTATATTGAATTAAAATATTTTATTTTATTTATAGCATATATGATCTATCTTTTTTTTTTGAATATTTATAAAAATTAATTCCTATATTTAAAGATTTGAATCTAAAATTTTTTGACTAAACTGAGAATTTATATCATAACTCAAAAAATAATGAAGGAAACTTAAATTTTTTTTCTTCTATGTTTATATGAGTAGTTTACACAAAATGAGTCAAATAAATAAAATATTTTTAAAATCCCAAAAATCTAAAAATTTTTTGACTAAACTGAGAATTGACAATATAACATAAAAAATAATGAAGGAAACTTAAAATTTTTTTCATTTTATGTTTATATGAGTAAGTTTATACTAAATGAGTCAAAAAAATAAAATATTTTTAACAAAAAATCTAAAAATTTTGATTAACTGAGAATTGACATCACAACTCAAAAAATAATGACGGAAACTTAAATTTTTTTTCATTTTATGTTTATATGAGTAAGTTTACACAAAATGAGTCAAAAAAATAAAATATTTTTAAAATCCCAAAAATCTAAAAAATTGACTAAACTGAGACATCATAATTCAAAAAATAATGATGGAAACTTAAAATTTTTTTCATTTTATGATTATATAGCTTGTACCAAATAAATTAATACAAAGTGAAGAATTATGCTCATATAATTCATATTTTTTTTAATTAAAAACTAAATTTTTAGTTTATTACGCCATCTAACGGAAATATATTTATGATATTTAAAATTTATTATGGGTGTATATTTTATATGAAACATATCTGTTCTATACATTTTTTTAAATTTATAGACTACTCTTTCTTACATATTCTATTTTATTTATTTAGATAATTTCAATTTTGGATAAATTTGATTAACATAATACAAATACATTATTTTTATTTTTAAAATATAATTGATAGTAGTGTTGCTAAGTAGTGTTGTTAAATGGTTGGTTTTTTACGACCCACAACCCGAGCCGAAGTCGTAGAAATCTGCTCAACCCTGAGCCAGGGTTGAAAAATTGACCACGACCCAACCCGACCCAATGGGCCTGTTGAGCCGACCCATTTGGTCTGCTTGCTGGGTCGGCTTGTTGGGTCGGCTTGCTGGGTCGGCTTGCTGGGTCGGCTTGTTGGGTCGGCTTGCTGGGTCGGCTTGTTGGGTCGGCTTGCTGGGTCGGCTTGTTGGGTCGGCTTGCTGGATCGGCTTGTTGGGTCGGCTTGTTGGGTCGGCTTGCTGGGTCGGCTTGAGCGGTGGGTCGGCTTGCGTTAAAATTTGTCATAATCGTCATCTTTAAATTTTTTCGAATTTTTTTGAAGCAAATAGGTAAAAATAAATATTGTAAACATGTTAAATTAAATTTTCAGTGAATATGTACCTTAGAAAAGTGACAATTGTCATAATCGTCATCTTTAAGTATTTTCGAATTTTTTTGAAGCAAATAGGTAAAAATAAATATTGTAAACATGTTAAATTAAATTTTCAGTGAATATGTACCTTAGAAAAGTGACAATTGTCATAATCTTCATTTTTAAGTTTTTTCGAATTTTTTTGAAGCAAATAGGTAAAATATATGTTGTGAACATGTTAAATAAAATTTTCAGTGAATATGTACCTTAGAAAAGTGAATTGTCATAATCGTCATTTTTAAGTTTTTTCGAATTTTTTTAAATTAAATAGTTAAAAAAATATATTGTAAGGATGTTAAAATATTTAAAATAATTTTTTATAGCCGGGCATAGGCTGGCATGAGATAACTCGCCTGTTGCTGACCTTTAATTTAAACATCTATCAGTAAAATCTAGAGGTTAAGACAATATTTTTCTTAAAATATTGGATGTGATAAAAATCGGATCATCGAGCCGTTTAACAACCCTATAGCTAATATTTTTAGAATCTTAAACTGAAGATTACTAGAACAATAGTTATTGCTCTTTAAATATAAGTAATATGATTTGAATCCCATATTATACCAAATATATCGACTCAGGCGCGTACGCGGGAATTCGGTCTGGAGGGGGGGGATAATAAATTTTGAAGAAATATTATTGTTTTTTAAAAATATCAAGCATAAATTTATCAGGACTAATAACTATTTCTAATACACAATTTTAAATTAATGTGAATTATAAAAAAATTATATGTAAAAAATCACTTAAATGACCCAAAATAGAAATTTGAATTTTTTGAGCCTTTACACAAAAAGTTTCTTAGGAATAATTGCATTTTGTATGTTATATATTTACAATGTAAAATCCAATCTTCGTTGTGATTGAGCTAATTTTTCAATTATCTCATTCTTGCTTGTTGTCCTATGAATATTCAAAAGATCAAACCTTTAAATCTACTTTCAGATGTTGTACTTCTTGGTATGTTTTTCGGAGACCTGATTTTTTTAAATATACCCGACCAGGGCCCGAAAATTTTTAAAAAAAAACCAAAGCCGGGCTGTATTTTTTAGAACAGCCTATATTTGAAATCGTTATTATTCGCTATAAAAATCAAAAATAAATATAATTTATTTAAAAAAAATCTTGGCTGGGCCTGAAAATTTTATTTTAAAAAAATCCGGACCGACCTGGCCCGAATTTATTCAAATATAGAAATTAATTTTTATAATTACTTAAAATAAAAGACATATGTTA